AGCTTAGCTACTTCCTTGGTCTTCAAATCAAGCAAATGAAGAATGACACATTTGTGAGTCAAGGCAAGTATATCAAGGACATGCTCAAGAAGTTTGGAATGGATGATGCTAAAGCTATTAGTACACCAATGGGGATAAGTGGAAGCTTGGATAGTGATGCTAGTGGCAACATGGTAGATCAAGAGATGTATCGGTCTATGATTGAAAGCCTACTTTATATGACGGCATCAAGGCCGGATGTGATGTTTAGTGTATGCATGTGTGCTAGATTCCAAGCCTCACCAAGAGAAAGTTATTCGAAAGCAACAAAGAGAATATTGAGGTACTTGAAGTATACACAAAATGTTGGATTGTGGTATCCCAAAGGAGCAAGATTTGAGTTGATTGGATATTTGGACTCCGATTATGCGGGATGCAAAGTTGAGAGAAAGAGCACATCGGGCACATGTCAACTATTGGGAAGATCACTTGTGTCTTGGTCATCAAAGAAGCAAAATAGTGTGGCACTTTCAACCACCGAAGCGGAGTACATCTCGGTCGGTAGTTGTTGTGCTCAATTACTTTGGATAAAGGCTACTTTGAGTGACTTTGGAATCAAATTCAAGCAAGTGTCATTGCTATGTGACAATGAGAGTGTCGTAAAGCTCACCAACAACCCGATTCAACATTCAAGAACAAAGCATATTGATGTCCGCCATCACTTCATAAGAGATCACCAACGAAAAGGGGACATTTGCATTGAGAGTGTGGGCACCGAAGATCAACTTGCCGATATTTTCATCAAGCCACTTGATGAGAAGAGATTTTGCAAGCTAAGGAATGAATTAAACATACTTGACTTCTCCAATATGTGTTGATGCACCCCCCACTTATATGACATGCCTTTCCTTCGAGCAATCCAAGGTAAAAGTTGATTGACATGACATACATACTTGCTAAGGACATGTTTAGTGCATCTAGACATATTTCACATTTGAATAGGCTCATTCATGAAAATCAAATGAATTTGATGCTTGTATGGTACCACTATTGCTTGTATGCTTGAAATGATCTAGTGGTAGCATATGGCATGTTTGTGGGCTTGTAAACCTAGTGGTTGATCTAGAAAATAAGCTATAAGTGTTTAACTCAACATGGTACAAGATAACCCTTATTTGGAGGTGTGAAGAAGCTTGTCCTTAGATCAAACCGAGTTAAATATCTTTTGCAAAGTAATCTAGATTGAACTAAATTGGAAAAATGATCCTCATTTCACATGGTTTCACCCCAACCTATCTATAATTTGAGCTCACCTTTTGTGCTAATTGTTGACAAAGGGGGAGAGAAACAAAGATATAAGTGATAGGGGAGTATTTGATATAGGGGGAGAGATATGACAAAGGGGGAGAGAAATAAAGATATGAGTGATAGGGGAGTATTTGACATAGGGAGAGATATGAGACATGATAAAGGAAAGGGATCAATTAAAATTTTGAGCACACAAGTAGGGGGAGCAAGCTCATGAACTTGTATGTTGCATTTGAATGTGTATTTCACATATTTGCTTGCATGGCACAAGTTTTTAATTTTCAATATCCATGCTTGTGTGGTGTATGCTAGTTGTAGGATTGAATGATGAAATAAAAAACTAGCATGCATAGGCTAAGTAACTAGACTCATGCTCACATTATGAAAACTAGACCCTTACTTCTAATATTGATCTCATGGGGTATTCTAGTTTTTGTGTATGTCTAGTTACTAATGGTGTTAAGGATGGTATATTGGTGCACTCCAATTGGTATCACTCTTCAAAGGTCCATCTCTTATACCTTAGCATCATTTGGTAGAAATTGACTCCTATATTTCCTATTTAAGCATATGTGCAAGCTACAATCCAAACTCTTAGCACATATGTAGGGGGAGCAATTACTACCATTTGGAGTTCATGAAACTTGTCCATATTCTTTTACACATGGTAAATATGCTTGGGCAAGCAACGTGGATTCAATTAAATCTCAATTCATATCTTTGTGAAAGGGTTGTCATCAATTACCAAAAAGGGGGAGATTGAAAGCTCTAGTTTGGTTTTGGTTAATTGATGAAACCCTAAGTGCTAACCTAGTTTATCAAAGTGATTATGAGATATGTAGCACTACTCCAAGTGATGAAGCAATGGCGAAGATCATGACGATAGTGATGGCGTGGTGATGATCAAATGCTTAAACTTGGAAAAGAAGAAAGAGAAAAATAAAAAGCTCAAGGCAAATGTAAAAATTATAGGAGCCATTTTGTTTTAGTGATCGAGACACTTAGCGAGTGTGATCACATTTAGGATCGATAGCCGTACTATTAAGAGGGGTGAAACTCGTATCAAAATGCGGCTATCAAAGTGCCACTAGATGCTCTAACTCATTGCATATGCATTTAGGATCTAGTGGAGTGCTAACACCCTTGAAAATGTTTGTGAAAATATGCTAACACATGTGCACAAGGTGATACACTTGGTGATTGGCACATTTGAGCAAGGGTTAGAAACTTCACTGGCGGAGTGTCTGCCCACAGAGTGCGGACAGTCCGACGGTGCCACCGGCGCTCTTTACAGAAAAGACGAAAGTCACTATAAGTGACCGGACGCTGGTCTCAGTTGGACCGGCGCGTCCGGTCAGTAGCAGCAGTGTGCGCGTGGTCTCGGTCTTCGACCGGACGCTGGCGTTAAATGTGACCGGACGCTAGCAGGGTGCGTCCGGTCAGTGCTGACGTACGCTGATGTGGGGCACACGGAGGAAACATTGAGTGACCGGACGCAGGGTGTGTCCGGTCGAGAATGACCGGACGCGTCCGGTCATGAAAATTCATGTTTGGAACATTACTGGAAACGACCGGACGCTGAGGTCTAGCGTCTGGTCACTTTCTAACTAACACATTCGGTCATCACTTGACCGTTGAAATCGGGCGATCGGCGTTTGAAGCCGATGCCACGTGGCGCACATCGCACGACCGGACGCTAAGGTCCAGCGTCCGGTCAATCTGACTGGAGCGTCCGGTCAGCCCGTGTTCAGTGCAGTGAGGAGCCCAACGGCTCTATTTCGTGGGGGCTTCTATTTAAGCCCCATGGCCGGCTCAAGTTCACCCTCTTGGCCATTTACATTGACATAGCAACCTTGTAAGCTTAGCCAAAGCCCTCCCACTCATCTCCATCATTGATTCATCATCTTTGTGAGATTGGGAGAGAATCCAAGTGCATTGCTTGAGTGATTGCATCTAGAGGCACTTGGTATTCGTGTTTCGCTGTGGGATTCGTTTGTTGCTCTTGGTGGTTGCCACCACCTAGACAGCTTGGTGCAGCGGTGGAGGATTGGCACGAGTTGATGATTATTCATGGCCATCTCTGGTGATTGTGAGGGGATTTGTACCTTCCCCGGCGGAGCGTCGAAAGGTAACTCTAGTGGATTGCTCGTGTCATTGAGTTACCTCACTTGTGGGTAGGTTCTTGCGGTGTCCAATCATGTGGACGAGGTTTGTGCAACATCTCTTAGCCGCCGAACCACTTATCAATCTTTAAGGAGATCGTTGCCGACCTAGTGTCAATGGAGGTAAAATACGATGATAAAGATTTAGCTCTTCTACTGTTATGCTCACTGCCTAGTTCGTTTGCAAATTTCTGAGATACCATACTATTAAGCCGTGATGAACTAACCCTTGCGGAAGTATATGAGGCCCTCTAGACGAGGGAGAAGATGAAAGGTATGGTTCTATCTGACATGTCGTCCTCTAAGGGTGAAGTACTGCAGGTTAGAGGCAAGCCTGAGCAGAAAACCTACAACAATAACAATAATTGAGACAAGAGCAAGAACGATAAAGGCCGTCCGAAGTCCAGAGGCAGGGATAAGTTCTACAGGTATTGTAAGCAAGATACTCATGTCATTGATGATTGTTGGAAGCTACAGAATAAGGAGAAAAGAAACAGTACGTATAAATCAAAAAACAAATCCGATAGTGATGGTAAGGCCTCTGTTGTCTCCGTTGCTGATAGTTCTGATTCAGGAGATGTTCTTGTTGTTCTTGCTGGTTGTGTTGCTGGTCATGATGAATGGATACTTGATTCTGCATGCTTGTTTCATATATGCTCTAACAGAGATGGGTTCAGTTATTACGAGTCTACGTAGAGTGGAGATGTCGTACGTATGGGAGATAACAACCCACATGAGATCATGGGCATTGGCTCCGTTCAGATCAAGATGCATGATGGCATGATACACACATTGAAAGATGTGAGACACATACCAGGGATGGCCAGAAATCTCATCTCCCTCAGCACACTTGATGCCGAGGGGTACAAACACTCCGGTTCAGGTGGAGCGTGTAAGTCATCAAAAGGCTCTCTCATTCATATGATAGGTGATATGAATTATGCAAAGTTATATGTTCTTAGAGGAAGTACTTTACATGGTTCCGTCACTGCTGCTACTGTTTCTAATGATGAACCAAGTAAGACTAATCTCTGGCATATGCGTCTTGGGCATATGAGTGAACTTGGTATGACATAATTGTTCAAGAGAGACCTGCTGGATGGCTGCATTGTGGGTCAGATGAAGTTATGTGAGCACTGTGTTTTTGGTAAGCACAAGAGGGTAAAATTCAATGCATCTATTCATATCACCAAAGGTACACTTGATTATGTACATGCTGATTTGTGGGGGCCGTCTCATAAGCCCTCTTATGGTGGTGCTCGTTACATGCTTACTATTATTGATGATTACTCTAAAAAGTGTGGCCTTATTTTCTAAAAAATAAAGATGATACTTTTGCTCTTTTAAAGAGTGGAAAGTTATGATAGAAAGGCAAACTGAAAAGAAGGTAAAATTGCTTCGTACTGACAATGGCGGTGAATTCTGTTCGGATGCTTTAATGATTACTGCAGGGAAGAAGGCATTGTCAGGCACCACACCATCACATACACTCCTCAGCAAAATAGTGTGGCTGAGCGCATGAACTGAACCATCATCTCGAGGGCTCGTTCCATGCTGTCCAATGCTCGTATGAACATGCGTTTTTGGGCTGAGGCTGCTAACACCACCTGTTACTTGATCAACTGGTCACCTTTTATCCCACTTAATAAGAAAACTCCTATTGAGGTATGGTCTGGTATGCCTGCTGATTATTCACAGTTGAGAGTTTTTGGTTGCACTGCTTATGCTCATGCTGATAATGAAAAGCTAGAACCTAGAGCCATTAAGTGTCTGTTTCTTGGTTGTGGTTCTGGAGTTAAAGGATATAAGTTATGGAATCCTGAAACTAAAAAAACTTTCATGAGCAGGAGCGTTGTTTTCAATGAATCTGTTATGTTTAATGACAGCTTGTCCACAGATGTTTCTCCAGTTGGTTTTGACGAGGAGCAGCAACATCTTAGCGTACAGGTGGAGCACGTAGATGATCAGGAAACTAAAATTGTTGATAACAATGTTCATGATATTGTTCAGCACTCACCTCCTATTTTGCAGCCTCAAAATCAGTCTATTGCATATCGCAGAACAAAGAGGAATTGTGGACCTCGTCCACGTTTAATTGAGGAATGTGATATGGTTCATTATGCCTTTAGTTGTGCTGAACAGGTGGAGAACATTCATGAGCCGGCTACATACAATGAAGCTGTTGTTTCTGGTGACCGCGAGAAGTGGATTTTCGCTATGAAAGAGGAGATGTAGTCACTCGAGAAAAATAACACATGAAATGTTGTGCGCTTGCCTAAACAAAAGAAGGCCGTTCATTGCAAATGGATCTTCAAGATAAAGGAGGGTTTATCTCCCAGTGAGCCTCCAAGATTTAAGGCAAGGTTAGTAGCAAAAGGTTTCGGTCAGATTCCTAGTGTTGATTATAATGATGTGTTCTCTTCAGTTGTAAAACATAGTTCAATTTATACATTTTTCAGTATTGTTGCTATGCGAGATCTTGAGCTTGAGCAATTGGATGTAAAGACTGCGTTTCTACATGAAGAGCTCGAGGAGGAGATATACATGGACCAGCCATAAGGGTTCATAGTACCTAGTAAGCAGGATCATGTTTGCAAATTAAAGAGGCCCTTATATGGTTTAAAACAGTCTCCTCGTCAATGGTATAAAAGGTTTGATTCTTTTATGATGTCACATAGTTTTAAAAGGTCTGAATTTGATAGCTGTGTACATTAAATTTGTTGATGGATCACCTATATACTTGCTGTTATATGTTGATAATATGTTGATTGCTGTCAAGAGCAAGAAAGAGATCACTACATTGAAGAAACTATTGAGTAGTGAGTTTGAGATGAAAGATTTTGGTGCTGCTAAGAAAATTCTAGGTATGGAGATTACAAGAGACAGAAATTCTGGTTTGTTATTTCTTAGTCAGCAAAGTTACATTAAGAAAGTTCTTCATCGTTTCAACATGCATGATGCAAAGTCTATTAGTACTCCTATTGCTCCTCATTTTAAATTATCAGCTTTACAATGTGCTAGTATGGATGAGGATTTTTAGTACATGTCAAGAGTTCCATATTCTAGTACTGTTGATTCTTTGATGTATGCCATGGTTGCTCTCGTCCTAATTTATCATATGCTATGAGTTTGGTTAGTAGATACATGGCTAATCCTGGTAAAGAACATTGGAAGACTATTCAGTTGATTTTTAGGTACCTTTGTGGCACAACAAATGCCTGTTTAAAGTTTGGCAAGACTGATAAGGGACTCACTGGCTATGTGGATTCAAATTTTGCTGTCGATTTGGATAAGAGGAGATGTCTCATAGGTTATGTGTTCACTATTGGTGGTTGTGCTGTGAGTTGGAGAGCAGCATTGCAGCCCGTTGTTGCCCTGTCTACCACTGAAGCAGAATACATGCCAGTTGCTGAAGCATGTAAAGAATCGGTTTGGTTGAAAGGTTTGTTTGCTGAGCTTTGTGCAGATGATTCTTGCATTAATTTGTTTTGTGACAGTCAAAGTGCTATATGTCTCACTAAAGATCAGATGTTTTATGAGAGAACGAAGCACATTGATGTCAAATACCATTACATTCGTGATGTTGTCACGCAAGGTAAGCTGAAGGTATGCAAGATAAGCACATATGATAATCCTGCTGATATGTTGACAAAGCCAGTTCCTGTTGCTAAGTTTGAGCTTTGCTCAAGCTTAGTTCGTGTAACTGTTTAGCCCAAGAGGCTATTTGGCACCGGAAGTATTTCTTTGTTATTTCAGGGTGAAAGTTCGTTTTATGCTACAAGAAGGAATTTGTCTGTCGGCATGAAATTTTGTCCCGTGCCGAGGGCACACGAGTAAGCCAGAAGGGTCCGCTCGATGGAGCTAGAGATCCGCCTAGCTTTAGCGCAGGGATGATCGATCCCGCGCACTCCTCCTAAGACGTGCCAGTTAATTTGACCCTGTAATTGACAAGGAGAGAAAGTTTATCAGTAATTTAGGGCGAAACGTGCCGGTGTTGTTAGATAGTTCCGAATGTGCGGCTCTGAGAGCCGATATGAAAGGAGATCGACTAAATAGTCGATTCCAGCATATTCATAAGAATAAATCAGTTAAAGCTCATAGGGTTATGTAAGAAGAATCGGTTATCGTTCAGGATGAATATCATTATTTAGACAAATATTGGTCAATGGCAAAAGGATGTCAACAATGATTAATTTATGCTAAGCCAATGACTGCAAGTAACCGAACCCCTTTTATATAAAAGAAATATCTCATCATCATTCAACCATTTAATAAGGATAAATCTAATGAACATATTAGATCTTATCTATCGCTATGACCAGTGGGGCATGAGGCAGAATTATGCAGGCCATAATACAATAATAAGATCATGGGGCTAACACATCTTTCAACCTATCTTTATTTCAACGATCTCGTGACATGAACTGTTTGTGAAAGCACTCGATATCGGCTAAAACAGCCGATTTAGGCATAGAGCACAGTTAAGGCCATGCCCAATCAGAAACAGATCTATCAAATAACGATCCCCACTCTATGGTGCTAACAGTGGAGTGTGAGGCAGAATCACACAGACCGTGATAACGGGCCATGGAACGGTTTTCGCTAGCCAATAGCTCTACTCAAGATCAGACTGCCTTAATCGCACGCTATGCACGATCAAGATTGATATAAAACAGTCGATAAAACATAACTCATTGTTTAAAGTACAGATTAGATCAGTTTAGATTAACAAACGATGGGTTAAACAAGATATAAGGCCGATCTAGATCAATCCCAATCGAGCGAAGTGCCATTGCTGTAATTAAATAAATAATGGAAGCAATAAACAATATCGGTAACTTAATGAATCTATCCGAAGGAACGCCACCCTTAGATAGAGCCGATAACTTGATCTTGATCTAGTTCGAGCAGTGGGGGTCGACCGGATTGATACAACATTACTTGAACTAGACAAGAATCGATAACTAGCTTATACTAGAGTCGTAGTGGAGGTCGACCGGATCGATGCAGTCGTATAAACAGAAGTATAAGCCATGATGGTACTTATAGACAAGCAGTGGAGGTCGACTGGATCGATGCAGCCGTACTCGCTGAAGAACTCACCGAGATCTACTCTACTCCTACTCCTAAGGGGTGGCCGGAGCCGAAAAAAGTAAATAACTTGTATTGGATTGATTCTGTGTTTTACATTAACCGGGGTTTGATATTTATACCCGGGACCTACGCACGACTCCTATCTAAGCACGACTCATCATAATCTTTGGCCCTAGAGAAAATATTCCTAATTTAAGATAACTTGGACTCTAATCTTTCCCTTTTCGTAGAGTCCACCATGCCTTGTCCCGGCGCCGATCGTGGCCTTTGTCGTTATCTGCTGACGTTATCTGAAGAAAGTCGATTCCAGTGTTGCATTCGAATCAGCTGATACCGACCTGTACGTAATTGATTGCTCGATGACATGATCTTGGGAGCTTTCAAGTCCCTGCGATTTTTTTTCTAAATTTTGGTGTAAACATTGTCTCAAGGTGGAGTTTATTGAGTTGTGATCCAAATTCAGTTATGTATAAGATAAAGACTAACTTCTGATGGAGCGAAGCGAGGCCCGTCGCCTATTAGGGTTTTTTCACCTCTATATATACTTCCTGTAAGTCATCGTCTTGGGATAAGAAAAGTTATAAATCCCCGACGTTTGTAACCTCATCTGATATAGTGAAGTTTTGCTGACCGGTGCCCGTGGTTTTCCTTTCTTACTTGGGAGGGTTTTTCACGTTAAAATCCCGTGTCCCCTATGTTTGATTTGCTGTTTTTCATCGTTTATATTGCCTATCAATTCTAACAGGGAGGAGCCCACGATAGTTGTCGTGTTTTTTTCCAGACCTGCGCCACAATAGCTTGAGCTTATTCAGTACTACTTTTTAGTCATAGAAGAATATTTTTCTTTCACAACATTTCAGCATAAACAACAGCATAAGCAGTGCTGGCTCTATCATTTTAAGGGCTCATGGGCAAGAAAAAGATAAGAACCCATTGAACTAATAAATTTTCATATAAAGATTCAAGCATATAGTATAAATAATAAAAATTACTTTGCAGTATATATGTACCTCATAAAACATAACAATAGTGTAAAAGAAAACAATAACCATCATGATTACGTCAAATAAAAAAATGCTTTAGCTCCTTGTAAAAAATGTCTTCGGCCATTTCTTGATTATAAACCCTACCACTATACAAGCAAATCGCATCCACAAAAAAAAATTAGAGAAAAAAAGGCTTCATTTGCTTCAAGATGTGTTGCTTACTGTGATGCCTGTAGAGTCGCAGCTTGTGCTGCTGCCATCGCGGCGGTGTGCTGGACTGCCGGTGTGCCGGCAAGGCGGCGACTAGCATCCGAGCACGAGCGACGAGATCACGAGAATAGCAAGCGTCGTCGAGTGTCGGTCTGGGCGAGAACAGAATAGGAAGCGACGCGCCGCCGGCGTAAACGAAACGAATCGCTGCTGTACAGGAGACAAACGGCTGATATAGGACCAAATATATCTACTAATTATAATTACCTATATGATCTTGCCCCCCCCAGCTCCATGGGCCCCGGCGGTCGCACTGTTTGCCCCTCTCCTAGAGCCGGGCCATAAACATAACATAAGCCAATTTCAACATAAGTAAACAGGGCGCTGATTAGAAGATTATTTTTATCCGGTGGTTTTGCCTCAAAATAGGTGTAATATTATTAGGCTTATGGACCATCCAAACAACGAATTCTAGATTGGGTTGGAAAAATATTAAAAGCTATAATTTACAAGGGTTTTTGATTGAATACCACACTTCTAAACAGACCCTTAAGGAAAAAAGAAGCAGCCCAATCCGTATCTGACGAAGCTCCGTTGTTCTACGAGTAGTAATTGAACAGACGACGAAGGCCGAAGGCGCTAGAGATCGGGACACCCAAACGGCCAAACAGCTGGACTGCTGGAGCTAGCATTGCACATTTGCACTGCATGGAAGTAGGTGGAACAAAGGGGGGCTCGAGGCAGGCGTGTGCAGCGTTGATTGCTGCGGGAGTACGTGTCTGTGCTCGGGATGGCATAAAAGCAGCGGCGCATGTTACGCATCGTCCTGCGGCGCGGCGAGGAAGGATCACCGGTCACAGGTGTCTCGGCGCTCCCGCTGGCCCACGGATCCCGCTGCAGCGTTGCTGGAAGCACGGTTCATTCATTTGCCTCACCAACGGAGGC